GCAGGGTGAGCGCCCCCTGCTGGCCCCATTAACACCTCTTCCAGCAACAACCTGAGTTTTTCCAGGAGTCTCCCAGCCAGGTACTGGCCACCCCACACTGCTGAGTTCCTGAGCACTGGTGCCCAGTGCAGGCTGGGGCAAATGCAAAGCCACAGTGTGTGTGTGTGGTTTCTTTCAGATTCCGGCACAGATGCTGAATTACTGAGAAAGCCGGAGAGGAAGAAAACTCCCTTTATTTCCATTCCCTTCTTCCTTCTGATTCAGGCTCACTGCGGTCAGGATTCCCCCCTATTTTTCACTGTTTGCTGTTTGGAGAGAACAAGCTGGAAGGATTGTGAAATGTTTTGCAGAGACTCTCTCCCTGAACTCACTCCCTTGTCCCCTGCAGACGTGTGCACATGGGGTCCATGCTACAGAAGAGGACTGCAGGCCTACAGAACTACAGTCGCAGTACCTGTCAAGAAGCCCAAACTACTTTTCAACATGTCGATGTGCCAATTTTTGGAAAAAACTCCAGACATGTTCACAGCCTCCAAAAAGTCATTTAGAAAGCTGCCTGTGAATTAACATAACAGGGTCAGAGTCGGCAATCAAACTGAGGGACAACACTCACTGCCACTCTGTTGGCAACCTGAAAGAGGAAACTCAGAGAACAAGGAAAGTCTGTGTCCAGAGCCCATGAGGTCGGAAATCATGACAAAAGACAAACAACAAAAAGAGACTCAAGCAGGATGTGGCGACAGAGGAGGACTCTCAACAGTGACTTCATCACCCTTCTGTCACACTTCCAGACTGCACCTGTGGCAGAGAGAGCAGATCAGCATCAAGACCCCTGCAGCTGAAGACACCTTTGACCATGCTAAACGCCTGCAATCTCCCAGGCAAAAACTCGGGCCTGTGCAAGACGCATGCTGCCTGCTCTCCCCTCCGCCTACAATACTGAATTTCTGCCAGGGGACTGGATTGAAGGGCACAGGAGAATTGTGAAAAGCAGAAATTTTTTCCTGAGGACTATGGAACGTTTTTTAGTTTCCAAAAGATTCTGTGTTTTTAAAAAGCCCTCTCTCTGGTGTTTTTGGAAAACTGATGTCTGTTTTGACATAGTCAGTGGCGTGATGTACCCTTTAAAATAAATTCCCTAGTCCTGGGATTTCACCCAGTTACAGCGAGTGTGCAGGTCTACTGGGCCAGATGCTATCAGAGCACACAGCTGTGGGTGGGAGGGCAGGAAAAGCAAGGTTATGCTCATTCCCCAGTCATCCAATCGCAGTCACGTCATCCTCAGTGCTGGCTGTGCATGTTTACAACCACTGCACAGAGTCCCTCTGTCTAACCCCTCTGCAGATACTGTACATCTCTCCCTCTGGGCAAGCTGGAGAATTCCTGGTTCTGTAGCTCGGTTTGTTTTTTGTTAACAGGGGCAGATTGCAGGATATTTCCATCTTCTAGGACTGGGACACAATCATCATGACTGTACATTTGTTAGATCTGAGCATGGAATGGAATGTGTGTTGTGCTTGAAATTTGATTATTTTTTAATGCTCAGGCTCATTCTTGTTTTGCCTGAGATAAAAACATGTCTCACAGAAGCAGGCCTCTGCACCACACTGCTGTCTTCAGGGGTTTGTTTTTCCGATGGCTCATGTCTGTGAGGGAGGGCTGTCCATTCCTCTTCGTCTGGCCGCGCGCTGTCTGTCATACTCAGCCCTCACACAGCATACCACCCAGCACAAGGGCGCAGGTCTCACAGACTGGTGATGGATCAAAACTCCTTCATTTCTGTGTCTTTGCTCCCATCCTTGACTTCTGTTTGTGCTGTTCCCTGTGTAGTGGCAAGGCTTATTAATAATACAGGAATTCTGTTTGCTGCTCCCTTGCCAGTCTCTCTCCCCCTCATCTTAGTGGTGCTGGACACAGAGAGGCCATTCCATTTGGTTCAGATTTGAGGCGTTTTTCTATCTAGAGTTTTCTGATAAGGAACAACTCCCAAGGCTGAGATTCTCCAGCCACCCTAATGAATGGTCATCTCTGGCACCTTACTGTCTGGGAGATTCCAAGGGAGAGTCTCATCCCAGGATTTACAACCCTCATGTCAGAGAGCACTGTTACTCATCCTCCACCTCGTCAGCCAATCAGGACCTGGTAGGGCAGGGTAACCCCACGTGGGTCTCGAATGCCTGCTGAACATTCAACCAATGAACGACCGAAGTTCCTCCAGATAAAAGAGGCAGCACAGGGCCCAGAAGGTGCCCCTCCAGGACTTTCTCAGACTCATCTCGGACAATCACGTGACGGCCAGTGTGTCCGAGTGCCAGGACTTTCCTTTGTTCCAAGAGTCGAGAACGAGGTTGCCAGCGTAACCAAAGGATCCACCCGAGGTTAGCCCAGCAGCAAGCCTCGTGAACCCAGCGCGAACACTCACCTGATCAACGAGTGAACTACAGTCGGAACTGTGGACAGCTGAATCTCAGGATTCAGGACTAGCGCTACATCGGGAACGAACCGGTCTTCTTCCCGTCTAAAGAGTGTGACCTGCTTGGACCCGCAGTCACTGTGCACAAACTCTGCTAGTTAAGCCAGGACCAACTAGTCGGTCTTCAGAGAGTCACTGCCAGCTCGCCGCAGCAGGAATATCTCCCTCCTTCTCCCCCACCTCACACCGGACCAGCACTGCCTGGCACTGGGCCAGAGGACCGCTGTTCCCTTGTGTCCGCGGGAGATCTGAATCCACACAGATTGGATGAGTTTTCAACATTCTGCATTGTCATGAGTGTACAGGCTCAGGGAACTGAACCTCTACAGTAGTACTGAATAAAGGTGGATAAATTCCAAATTGGGACAGATATTGATAAAGTCATCCCCAGAGGTCTGTTACACTGTACCTAGTTTAAAATGGACCTGTGGACACTGGTAGAAATTACAAGGATGCATATTCAGGACAGGAAAATCCATTTACTGGGTCTGGAAAAATTTGCTCTCAAGCTCAACACACCAGACTGCGACAGCAAGCCCCTTTATTTTGCCTGCCTGCCACCGCAGACTAGGGCAAATCCCAAACTTGGAAACCCACATGCCTTTTCTGAACAAAAATACAGAGATCCTGTCATGGAAATATAACTATCAAGGAAACCACAAGAGAGAGTTCTCACCTGAGTAAGGTCTTTATTTCAATATTGCAATATTGGGAGCCCTGTTGCCACCCTGCAAAGTGCATCAGAGACTCAATTTGTTACAAGCAGGACAGGGTTTTTATAAGATGTTGCGCTGTAAGAGAAAGCTCAGCACTTTGTCCCTTCTAAAACTTCCCCTTTCCCTAAGACAAAACAGATTACATCATAAAAACGAAAGAAGAAGCACCACTGGATTTGTTTTTCGAAGCTTATAAGTTACTTTCGGCTAATCTAATGACCCAGACACATATATTGCTTTGGTACATTGTCTTCTAAAGTAACCTAAACAGTGCGTACTTTGTTATATATTTTCCTAAAGCTCTCTACATTTTAAGAATCAATTTACTTATTAGATTTCCATTTCAATTCCCTCCTTTTTATTCTTGAAAATGATTAAAAGTTAGATTCTTCATATGGACTCCCAGGAGGCTCCCATACTTTGGATTCTTGCGTTCTTATCAGAACATACTGATGCGCAAACATATTCATTACCATATTTCAAAGCATTGGAATAATATATGTCGTACAGCAACACAAAAACAGTAAGACAAGTATCACAGCCCTTATAATTGGTGTTAGAAACTTAAATGTGACTACCAACTGGTCGGGGAAAAAGTCGCATGGGTGAGGCTGTAGAATGAGGTACTAAAGCACATACATAACAGGATGCATTAAATTTCTTTAACTTTACAGTATGATTTATAATTTATACCACAAATTACTCATATCCCCCTCATTATCAGTTTCATTCAGCCAGTTTGTATACAAAGAGGCTTCGGGTTTAGATTCTTCCTCTTTTGGGGTGGTGACAGGCCTCCACATAAAAAGGAAAAAGGCTGTGCACATCAGTCCCAAGCAGGTTATCCCCATCTGTCCTTGTGGAGACATCACTCCTGCGCTTTGTTCAGTTCGTTTGTGACCTTTTTACAGTGGGAAGCATGAATCCAGGGCACCATTTCTGTGACCTTCACAGCAGTGGCAGTGGTCAGCAGCACCTGGTACAGCCCCCTCCACCTGAGTGAACACCATTTCTTTTTCCTGAGGTCTTTCACCAGAATCCAGTCTCCTTATTCACTCATTAGTTCTTCCAGCACAGGTAAATCCCTGTGGGATTTCCATTTCAATCCACACTTTTTAAACGTTGTCATGAAAATAATGTTAGAAAAGCTTATAATTTGTACAATACAAAACAAAGAAAACTTATATTTATGTTTTCCACATATCCCATGTTTAAAATGTGTATTAATAGATATTGTTTCAGTCTAGTTCTATAATTGAGCTCTATAATGAAAGATATTTTCCCCCTTAAATACAAAAAAAAAACAAGGGTATACATTTGAATATATATATGAGAAAACTCACATTCATTCACAAAATTCACATTCAAATTACTTAACTTAAATAATCAAGTACTGTATTTTGCTTATTAAACCAGCTTTTGCTTTAGAGCTCTCCTTGATCTCTAAGCCCACAGGGGGGTCCCACGTTACTGCGCCTCAAGGCCTTGGTGACCAGGGGCCTCAGGACGGCCCCCACTTGGCTGAGGTCAGAAACGATGGCCTTCTCAAGCAGGAGGTGCTCAATGTGTGTCCTGTGGAAGCACAGCACGTAGGTCCTACCCACAGCCAGCAGGGGGCAGGGGCAGCGGTCCAGCAGCTGCATGTGGCCTCTCATCTCGCCTCTGGGCAGCTCCAGGACGATCCTCAGCAGGTAGGTACGCTTGCCTCCGTGCAGGCTCAGGCTTTCGACCTCTCCAAAGAGCACTGAAACAGACAGGAGGCTTTTACTGCTGCAGCCCAGCCTGCAGGTCCAACACAGCCCATCTCTCACTTTATCATTAACACAAATGCATGCAATGTCTGTCCTGACGGAATCCATATTTTTAAAACTGACTGCAATATTTAAATGTCACTCTTTGTAGTTTTTACATCTTCAGTAATATATGAGAACCTCCAGTACTAATGTGATTACAGGAAGAAATAGGAATATTTGTTGTTTCCATTACTTTGAAATTGCAGAGAATTTCTGCAGCCAGTGTCTACTGTCCTACTGTCCTCACTAATAGGTCTCTGTTTACCAGAAACGATGTGACAGAACAAGCTTGTGCCAGAGCCTGCCAGACCACAAGCAGCAGAGCCAGACCACAGACGGGCCTGGTAACGAGACGTCACAGTCAGCGCCGAAGGAGGAGGGTACCTGTTTGATTACTGCACAGCGCGGAGTCTCCCAGGCCAGCCAGCGAAGTCAGGCGGCAGCGATGCCCTAAGGAACAAAACGCAGAGGCTGGAGGCAGGAGGTGATGAGGAGAGAAACACACAGGAAGCTGCTGGGCCAGAGTGGCAGACAGGCAGAGCTGGGGGCTGCAGTGAGGGCTCCTGTCAGTTCTGTTCCCTGGCCGGGCTGGTTCTGGTACTGGGGCTGTCCGGTCAGGGACGCGGACTGCAATGGACCAGCAGGACCCACACAAAGACCTGGCCCTGAGTGACAGCCCAGCACCCCGAAACCGAGCAAGCTTTCTTCCCAAGCTGGGAGCAGACCAGCATGACCACGTCCCTGCCTCACCAGCTGAATTACAGGGGGGAATGGAGGGAAGCTGGATTGTGCAGCCCCAAGTGGGATTCAAACTGGGAAACAGGAGTGAACAGTTCCAAGGAAACAGCATCCAAGGAAGTCAGACCCGTGGTTTCGCATCTCATCTAAAGGATGGCGCCTCCTACACAGAGAAGCCAGTCGCTCTGCTGGAGAAATGGATTGGAAAATATGGAAAATATGGACCAGAGGGAAAAACAGCCACAGACTTTGAGATGTAATGAGCCTGTTATAGAACAATACACAAAATGAAAACATAAATAACTCCTGAATACCACCTTACAACTATGGGTCCCTAATCTCACTGCTGAGCTCCGGAGACCCGCGGGGACCAGGGACAGGGTACAAACACTGCCGCCACTTCGGTCCTCCCCGGCCAGCGAGCTGGACACAGGCCAGCCTGAAAGAGTCGGTACATAGTTCCGCTATGCACTTCCAAAGTACGTTCAATAGCATAGAGAAAAGAAAACAGGAGAAATGCTGTTTTGTGTCAAGAGCAGAAAAGAAGACATTTGAGATGTTTCTACAAGCAGGCCATCTGCTAAGTGCTCCAGGCTCGCTGGAGAAATTCACTCGGGCCCTGCTGCTGCAGAAAGTGGAAGGCGGTGGCCAGACGGACCTGCAGGCTTGGGTCCCGGGTGAGAGTGCCTCCAGGGGGCGCCGTCGCAGCAGGTGTACAGGGAGGGGTGGTAGTAGTGGTGGCCGCAGCAGGAGTAGCCCAGCCGCTTGCTGTAGACCAGGGAGGAGCAGCACTGCTGCTGGGCCTCGTCGATGAGCTGCTGCCCGCAGCAGGACTGCTCCCGGCCACTCCGCACCTTCGGGTGTCTCCAGGGAAGAGGACAGAGAGAAAATGCTGAGGATGGCGGACAAGCGCTACTGAAAAACTGCATTCTTGTGTGCATCACTCCCTGGCACACTGCAGAGGCTAACGTCAGGACTGCAGCTACAGTATATGAAAAAAGGACACCTTCCCTTGTGGAAGAAAGGGGTGGAGAAAGGAAGAGACAGAAATTGCTGGACAAGATCATCTTGGCCATGACAGATCCCCTCCATAGCACAAAAACTGGGAAAAGAAAATGAAGCAGATTAAATACATAACTAGCATATTGTACTTTGAGGCCAAAGATCTGAGAGATGAAAGATAGTTCTTGGAAAAAAAATGTCTTTGGAAATGTCTTTGGACACAGCTGCAATGATGGATTATTAAAACCTTAAACTTTTCTCAGTGGGATCCGGGAAGAAGCATGAAAGTCCTGCTAATGTTCAGAGCCTGGTGTTTCTGGAAGAACAAGAGCTCAGGGAAGCTGACAAACAACAGTCTGAGGCTGTCGGCACCACAGACTGGGAGCAGACCGAGCTGCAGGAGCTGACATCAGAGGCTAGGAATGCAGAAGCAGGAGCTTTTGTTAATCTTTACCCCAGAGATTTAGGGTTAGGGTTAGTGTCAAATCCAAAGTCTTTATTCCTGATGACATGATCGGAAACTGATTCCCACGCCCTGAGAAATACGGATATTAAAATCATGGAAACTGCAATTACAGGTACTAGCAAAACTGCTTCAGGTCCACTTCCTTCCTTATCATATTGTCATGCAGTGCAAAGTGCATCATCTATCTGCAGAAGCGGAGCTGCTGGACCTCCCCAGTTGTCTGGACAGCAAACTGAGGCAGTCTGGGTCAGTGCTGAAAAGAAGAGCAGCGCTGAAGAACACTCTGTCTGCCTCGGTGGAGCAGAGCGCGGGCAGCGCGGTGGCGGGTACCTGTGGCCGCTGCAGCAGATCTCCACAGCGGGATCGAAGGGCAGGTGTCCGCAGCAGTGCTGCCCGGCGCAGAAGGGGTCCCGGAGAGCCGCGGGCCTGCGGCCGGAGAGCTCCTGGCCCCTGTCCTTGTACAGCATGCCGTTTAAGCAGACATGATCCAAGACATTGTAGGCAGCCCCTCCGCAGCACTGAGAGAGCACAGGTGGCCATCACACACAGGAAGCAGCGCACAAGCCTCAGGCGCCCAGCGGCTCCCTGCTTCGTCAGGCTTCCCAGTTTGTTTACATGATCGTTGACGTTTCCGGGTGCTTCCCCTGGCTGGACAGCAGCCCTGCTGTAGTAAACCCCCAGTGCTTCACTATTGCTAACTGCAGGTGAATGACTTAGCCTGCTTTGCCAAGGATTGTTAACTTACTGGGATCTTCGTCAGAGAACCCCAGCCAACTACAGGCACACAGATGTTAATATAAGACACATGTGTATATTTGAAAATATTGAGAATTTTTAAAATAGATGGGAAAAACCCAAAAGAAGGGGATTGCTGTCACTTTCAATTCTTTCAAAAGATATTGTTTAAAACAGAGATTCTGAGACGTAACAAGCCTGTTTTATGACAATGCATGAAATGAAAAACATAAATAACTTCTGAATACCACTACTTTGACATACTTTGACATCAAATGTCAGTCAATATATTTTGGATAAAATCTATTTCTAGTTTGTTATTTACAATTGACCCGATCCCTCATATGCCAATGTGGGCAGAGAGGTGGCTCTGTGGCTTAGGATCTGCGCCTGTGGCTAGAAGGTTGCTAGTTCAAATAAAGTGATGTTATTATTATTATTATTATTATTATTATTATTATTATTATTATTATTATTATTATTATTACTGTCATGTAAAGAAATCCAGGCTGGAAAACAAATGGAAACTTATTCTTCATAAAAGACACAAATCATGGTTAAAACTACAGAAAGTGACAGAGGGAGGGTGGGGATGTGATGAGATCTCTGGGTTTATGGGAATTTTGGATAAAGACAGATGTGCGACACATCCAAGGGTCAAGGATGTTCTCAGCAAAAAGTTAAAAAATGTATGAGCATCTGAACAAAATCCAGAGATTGTATCAGGAGGATCTAGCAGCAAACACAAGAATACAACTGGAGTCTTTTATTAAATAACTGATACTAAGTAGCTGAACACTTGTATTTTGCACTAAGGGACTACGATGCTATGAAGGCAAGAGCATGAGATCCAGGAGCAGACTGGAGTGTAGAGCAGGAGAACCAGGAGCAGACTGGAGTCTAGAGCAGGAGATCCAGGAGCAGACAGGACTCTAGAGCAGGAGATCCAGGAGCAGACAGGAGTCTAGAGCAGGAGATCCAGGAGCAGACAGGAGTCTAGAGAAGGAGATCCAGTAGCAGACTGGAGTCTAGAGCAGGAGATCCAGTAGCAGACTGGAGTCTAGAGCAGGAGATCCAGGAGCAGACTGGAGTCTAGAGCAGGAGATCCAGTAGCAGACTGGAGTCTAGAGCAGGAGATCCAGTAGCAGACAGGAGTATAGAGCATGAGATCCAGGAGCAGACAGGAGTCTAGAGCAGGAGATCCAAGAGCAGACAGGAGTCTAGGAGAGGGATGGAGACCAGCAGAGTGAGCCGAGATAAAGAGATTCTCCCCGCATGATTGGTTGGAAAACAGACTGAGGGACACAGTAAATGAATTGGTCATCTCTTTCTCCTGGACTTATTGCCATCAAGGTATCGAGGCCAGACATGGAGAACTTGTAGCTCTGAGCTGAAAGATATCAGGAATGGATCTCAAAATACAAAATCCATCCAGGAAGCAATGAGCAGGCACACCAGACACCGATGTAGGAGTGTGCAGACTTGCACTGCCAACAGACCTATCAAGCACTGCTGTCTGTTATCTGAGGCTTTTGCTTTCCCTGCACTTACAGTGACTTTTCTGTCTTTACAGAGGGAGGACTGCTGGCTCACCTGATAGGGAACTCCTTGCTCTTTCTCTGTAATATTCCCCGCGCAGCAGATGTGAGTGCTAGGGTTATAACCAACTGAATTGCAGCACCTTCCTCCTGCAAGACCAGTTCCTGTGGATTGACAAAGATTGAGCCAACATGAAACAGGGCAAAAGGGCAAGAACCCACAGAGGATGGGGCAATGGGGCAGGTTCAGAAAGTGAGAACTTCATTGATCAAGCAATGTTATGTTAAAAACATATAACACACTTGTAAGGGCTCATTTAGAATATTGTGTAAACTACTGTATGATCACCACGCCATAGGAAAGATATTTGCCGCTCTGGAAAAAATCTAACTGTTCTTTTGCTGTTATACACTGGACACTCTCCAATCGTGGTTTTCTGACTCTGAGATCTCTGCAGGAGGTACACATTCCCAGGAGCCACTCTGTCCAGACTCCTTCAGGATGAATTAGCATTTGATAAATTTTGAAGCCTAGTGGTGCCTAAGTGGATGAATCACCGAAAAAAAAGATTCTCACAGATTCCTACACTAGAATGTTGTCCAAGGATGCTGAATATTTAAAAATAAATAATTGTATTGAAATATGTATCCAGAGGCAGACTGCCTGTCTCATTGTGCCCCAAAAGGAAGGACGAAATTTTTGTTTGTTGGATTTTCAAACTGTCTACAGGGTTTCTAATGGGAGGCCTGGCTTTGGTCTCACAATATATCTGCTTTATTCCAAAACAATTTTCTTATTCAAAGTTATAAATACACAATGCATCCCAGTTTACTTCACACAAAACCCGGAACCACGTTTTCCAATTTCTCGTGACAGGAAACCACATTTCCTTTAAAGATTTTGTTGAAAGCCATCTCAGTGTGCTGTGAGCCCTGGCTGTACTGGAAGGACGGATACTACACAGGAAGACGCAGCAGAGAGCTCTTCCAGAGAGAGGTTGCAGAGTGAGACTGACGCAGCAGGAGCAGCTCTCTGAGAGCTCCTCTCAGGCCGAGCGAGGACTGGAGGAGCACAGCAGGGCACAGCAGGGCACAGCAGGGCACCGCAGAGCACAGCTCGGCACAGCAGGGTAGCAGAATACAGCAAGGTAGCAGAGCACAGCAGGGTAGCAGAATACAGCAGGGAAGCAGAGCACAACAGGGCACAGCAGGACACAGCAGGACACAGCAGGGCACAGTGGAGCACAGTGGAGCACAGTGGATCACAGCAGGGCACAGCAGGGCACAGTGGATCGCAGCAGGGCACAGCAGGGCACAGCAGGGCAGCAGAGCACAGCAGGGCACAGTGGAGCACAGTGGATTGCAGCAGGTTACAGCAGGGCAGCAGAGCACAGCAGGTCACAGCAGGGAAGCAGGGCACAGCAGGACACACCAGGGCAGCAGAGCACAGCGGGAAACAGCAAGGCACAGTGGAGCACAGCAGAGCACAACAGGGCAGCAGAGCACAGCTGGGCACAGCAGGGAAGCAGAATACAGCAGGGTAGCAGAGCACAGCAGGGCACAGCTGGGTACAGCAGGGCACAGCAGGGCACAGTAGGGCACAGCAGGGTGGAAGAGCACAGCAGGGCACAGTGGAGCACAGCAGGACTTCTTCTTACCTGTGGTATTTGTGATCATGCCGTTGCAGCAGGTCTGGTCAGAGTGGTAAACCTGCCCCTGCCGGGACGTCCTGTTCACACAGCAGCGCTGTGTCTGGGGGTCGTAGTAAGTGTCCCATCCGCAGGGCAGACATCTGATGGATCTGTGTTTGGATGACATTACATCAAAGCTATCTTTCCATCTTCCGTTTATAATTTTTCTGGAAGTATCTCAAACCCAAAGAGTATCGGCACACTTCTTTATACAAGAGCCCTGGCCCTGACCCCTGACCCCTGACCCCGATCCTTTCCCCCACCCTTATGCAATAGCCACAGTACCTGGTGATGTTCTGTGCTGTCCTGGGACTGCTGTGATTCCCACAGTTCTGGAAGTGACAAATTACCTGTTAGAGCCACTGATATCAACAAAACAAAGTGTGGCTACCGTTATACTGCAGAGAGGGGCTGTGATTTCAGGAGACAGAAACAAAATTAATATTACAGGCCAACAGGCCAACAAAATACAGGCCAACATTTGAAAACATCTAATTGGACTGAGTATAACTGAACTTCATTGTGTAAAGAAGTGTTTCCTATTTTCTAAACAAGTTAAAGGCTTTCTTGAAATCTAATTATATTATGCACTTTAGAGGTATCAACTGTTCTTGTTATTCAAAGATTTCTAAAAATCTCCTCTGCTAACAAGAAAATGGTAAACTAGTGAAAGGGATTTTAATTATTTGTGCCATAGATATGTATAGATCTTGCTGTCACATCACACAGAACACAGATCCACAGTGCTTACTTGTCTGTAGGGGATCCTCACCACTGTCCCTGGAAAAGAGTGTCAAAGAAAAACAGGGGTGACTGGCAGGACCGGGATGCATGAGAGGCAATTACGTGCCTCTGTCTCTGGTGGGTTTGGGTCGGGCCACACCGAGCCTGCAGGAATGCTTACAGCTGACAGCAGAAAAGTGCCTTAAGGGTGCAGACAAGCTTCACGCTCTCCTAGGGCCACTGGAGAGGTGCTGTGCACGAAGTGTTGTACCTAGCAGAGCCATGTACCTCTGAGAGAGGACTGCCGGCAGCAGGAACGACATTTTCAAGGACTGTAGGTCGCCATGTTATTGCGAACCCATATTCGAGTTCCCAGGATTTGTGATGTAAAATGACCCTTCCTGCTCACGAGTCACTTTAATGACTAATGTAACACAATGTAAGATAAGATAAGACAAGATAAGATTTTATTGTCCCCTGAGGGAAATTTTTTTATGGACACCCAGCATTCCTGTACATTTAAATAGAATAGAATGCAAAAAAAATGTACGAGCAAATACAGTGGTGTGAAAAAGTATTTGCCCCCTTCCTGATTTCTTATTTTTTTGCATATTTGTCACACTGAAATGTTTCAGATCATCAAACAATTTGAAATATTAGACAAAGATAACACAAGTAAACACAAAATGCAGTTTTTAAATGAAGGTTTTTATTATTACGGGGAAAAAAAATCCAAACCTACATGGCCCTGTGTGAAAAAGTGATTGCAGTTGCCCTTTAATTTATTATAATCCTTACACTTATATAGCGCTTTTCTGGACACTCCACTCAAAGCGCTTTACAGGTGATGGGGATCCCCTCCACCACCACCAGTGTGCAGCCCCACCTGGAGTCTTGGGGTCTCGTCTGCACATCGAAAGAGGTGTGCCTGGTCACAGCGACGAGGCCCTGCACATAGAGGGGTCTCACTGCCTTACCTTTCACGCACTCTGTGATGTTGGGGTGGTAGGGTGTCGAGACGCAGCATCTGCTGCCCTCAGAAACAGGGCGCACCTTCAGGTCAGCACAGCAGGTCTCTGTCTCCTGATTGAACAGGACGTCCCCACAGCAGCTGTCGCGAGGGTGTCGCAGGCTCAGGGTCAAGTTGCGCTGATGCCCGCAGCACGCCTGCGTCTGCGTGTTGTACACCTCTGGAGCCGGAGACCAGGGGGGCAGCACAGACTACAGGTTAAAACAGGAATGCAGTCCGAGCAGACGGAAAGCCTTGCTGGGCAGGCAGAGGGGAGATCCTCTGCTGGAATTCTATTAAGTTTATTTAGTGTACCATTTTGTAAAAATTGTAAGGGCATTTGATAAGCAAATAAATAATAGTGCCAATACTAGTATCAATACCAGTACCGATAGCAATAGCACTAATATTAATACACATACTGGAACCAGTACCAGTAGAAATACTGGTGCTGGAAGTTAAGCATGTCGGGTTGCTGCACTGAAGCCTGTGGCTGGTCCCCACCTGTTCCACAGCAGGCGTGGTGTGGCTCCTGCTCTCTGATCTCACCGTCACAGCAGAGCTGGCTCAGAGGGTAATAGGCTTTCCGTCCGCAGCAGTCCGCCACCATCTCGCTCACTCCCACGGTCAGATGCCCTGGAGTCAACCGAGACCAGACGGAAGACTAGGGGCTTGATCCTTCCCATGGGCTTCACAGCAGGTTCAGGTCTCCTGCCATCAGCCACACTTCCTGGGGTCTCCGCTGCAAATTGATCTGGTCTCTTTCTCTTCCTGCCTTCCCCAAAATATTCCAGCTTTGCTAAAGCTCGTGAGCTCCCGTAACTGTACAGCGCTCTTTCCTTTAGAAGCTTCCAATGAGCTCTTTAAACTCAGCTCGTAAGCTCTCTTTCCGCTCGCGGGGTTTAATCCCAGTAGTGAACACTATTTATATAACCAAACAATGCTGCTTTTTCAAGGAGAAGCAGTAACAGGATGCAAAGCTGAGTGGAATAGTGTAAGTGTGGATTGGGGCTATCTACAGTCAAAAATAAATAAGCTATATTAAGATTTCATACGCTAACAGCGGTCATTTTTAGTATTCCTATACTGGGCATTGGAGGTGCTCCAGCTGATGTCTTTATCATCACATCCCGGACAAGCCCACTGGAAAAACACCCCCTTCTCTGCACTCTAAAAGAAATGCGTTTTTAGTGTTGAGCTTTATTCAAGATAGAGAAACGTTTTTATGTTGTAGATGGTGTCATAATTATTTGATTCATTGCATTTTAGGCAAAAGTCCTTCCTCAGCTATTTAGACAAATGTAAACCTGTGCACGTCAAAATGGAATAATCATTCCAAGAGGCTCCAAAGTCCCCATTTTGAGCATTAGTTTTCCTGCCTTCTAAAAGCGGCCATTATTTGCTTCATAACCCTGATTCACTCTGCAGCTGCACGAGTGGCAGCTCTGTCAGAGCTAAGCTGTGTTAATTCCTCGCTGTCGAGAAACACGAGAAACACGTTTCAGCAGTGGAGCCTCAGCAGGCTCAGATCTTCTGTATCTATTTCACTTACTGACGACCCAACTTTACTCTTCTAAATCCTTTTTTAAACTTTTTAATTAACAATGAAAGAAAATTACAGGTAGAACACATACAAAATAAGTTACTGCTTTCATCATTCAATTTTTTTTGTTTTGTTTTTGTTTTGTTGTTTTTGTAATAGACTTCTTTGCGGCCTGTTTGATTGTGTCTGAAATCTGATGTTGTGCATTTTATTGTTAAAGAAATCCATGAAATCGTCACTACTACAGTTAGCATGGTACTGTTGAATCGGCCTTATTTGTTAGATGAGCTATCGTCCTAAATAGGTAGTGAGGGTCAATTTTATTGGTTTCTGTGAGTCCAGAATAGTAAGCTGAATGAGCTCTATATAGGGATTTCTTATATTGCTGTTGGCCATCAGTCCATGCTGAATATTTGTTGACCAGTAGACCTCCATTTGCGATCTAGTTTGCGGCACTCCTGTTTAAGAAATCAGTTGCAGCCAGGTTTTTCCAGCTACTGGCCAGGCTCACATCTGCTGAGCTCCAGTGGGCTGACAGTTTTGAGCTGCAGGGTGTCATGGCTGCTGGCAAAAAATGAAGTAGCAGTCTTACCCAGGCAGCAGGACTCTTTGCTCGGACTGTAGGCCTCGCTCCCGCAGCAGAGCATGCTGGGATTCCCAGGCAGCACACTCCCATCATCGCAGCACAGCTGGCAGGACCTGCAGGCGGCAGGACAGAGCCCCTCAGAGCTGCACTGACTCACGACCACAGGGCTCGCACACAGACACACTCACTCACACACCGACACTCACCGACACACTGACACACAACGACACACTCACGCACTACACACACCGACACACTCACTCACACACTGACACACACCGACACACACCGACACACTCACTCACACACTACACACACTGACACACACTCCCACACTCACTAACACACTACACACACACTCACTCACACACT